GCTCTCGGCAATGCGAAGACATGGTGAGAAGGTGGCTACCTACAAGCCAGGCAGTGCGCTATCACCTGACACGGGATCTGCTGTTACCGTGACGTTGGACTTCCCAGTATCCGGAGCTCTGAGAAATAAATGTCTGTTGTTCATAGGCCACCCAGCCTCTGATATTTTGTTGGAGCAGCTTGAGCTAAGACACCTCTCCCACCCAGTTCTCCCACTGGATGCTTCTCCTCTCCTGACATCGAGGACCTCTCCCTCCCTCTTTGGGGTCTCCTCCCACCACTTGAAGCACCCCATCCTCCTGTGGGTTCCTCTCTGGCCTTCCACAGATGGCTCAGGTGACTCGGACTCCTTTGGTGGCTTTGCCCCTGCCCGCCCCCAGCCTGCAACCACCACCCAGCATGCCACCGGGCCCCAATCTCAACCTCCAACCTGACCTTTCTCTGAGCTCCAGAGCCTTATCTTCCCCACTCAGGCTCCTCAAATGCAACCGTTAAAGCTAAGTTCCTTCCCTCCACATTCAGTTTCTCAAGAAACAATCTGACTGAAAACCCTTTGGTGCCATCACACTGGCTCCATAATGGAGTCTGGACTTTTGAGTTCCCATACCATGCCACCTGCCATCAGGTCCCCTACATGGCGACTGTCCATGGAGAGAGGAACCCGACCCACCAGCCAGCCCCTCATTCCAGTCATGGAGCAGCTATTATGTAATCGCTGGGTTCCGGGGACCCTCAGAGTCGTCCCTACCACTTGGCGCCGAGGGCCCATTGCCTGGATGTGCACTGAATGAGGAACTGCAACTGTGTGCAGGGCACCACCACACAGGGAGACCTCCGCTCATCTGGAAAGACGTCCCCGAGGAAGAGACACTGACATGTCATCTCAAGGACGGGGGAATGCTTAGCTCTGGGGGCAAAGGCTCAGAGATGCCACCGGGACCTGCTACAGGAACAGAAAGAAGCATCCCACAGCTGGGACATGGGCCTGGGAGCCGCGGAGACAGGAAGGGCGGGCCCGGGGTAGAGGGCTTCAGAGGCCCCGTTCAGGAACTAGATGTCACTGCCTCAAGGCACTGAGGGTGTGCGCAGAGGTAGACGTTTTAGAAGGTCGCTCCGGCCATGATGTGGAGACTGGACTGAAGGGAGCCTCTACAAAACACTAGCAAACTGAATCTAGCAGTCTATTAAGGAGATTATACACCAGAACCCAGTGGGATTTATTCCAGGGACGTTAAGGGGGTTGTAGGAGTTTCCTAGGGCCGCAGTAACAAAGTACCACAAGCTAGGGGGACTTAAAACAACAGACTTAATCCCTCACAGTTCTGGAGGCTACGAGTCCGAGACCAATGTGTCTGGCAGGCTGGGCTCCTTCTGGGGGCTCGGGGGGAGACTCTGTCGCGTGCCCCACTCCTGGCTTCCGGTGGCGGCTGGCAAGCGTCGGTGCTGCTCATGCAGCTACGGCACCCCATCTCTGCCTCGCTGCCGCCTGCCATCTTCCCTACATGACCTTCTAAGGGCACCAGGCACCGGATTGAGGGCCCACCCTACTCCACTATGACCTCCTCTTCACTAATTACATCTGCTAAGACCCTATTTCTGAATAAGGTCATATTCTGAGGTTCCAGATGAACACGAATTTCTGGGAGACGCCATTCAACCCACTACAGTGGTCAATATACAAAAATCAGTCAGTGGAATACACCACATTAATAGACTGAAGGAAAAAAGAAACACAGGATCATCTCAACTGATACAGAAAAGGTCTTCGAACATCTAATACCCTTTCATGGTAAAACCACTCAAAAAACTAACAAGAGAAAGGAATTTCCTTAGCCTGGCAAGGGCACCTACTATGAAAAACCCACAGCTAATATACCCAATGGTGAAAAACTGAAAGCTTTTCCCCTAAGATTACGAACAAGACAAGGATGACTGCTTTCACTGCTTCTATTCAACATGGTACTAGAGGTTCTTGCCAGGAAATTAGGCAAAACGAAGAAATAAAAGGCATCCAGATTGGAAAGGAAGAAGTTAAGTAGGATCTCTACTTGCAGATGAGATGGTAATATATACAGAAGAGCTAACAGGGACTTGGACAGAGAAAAGTCCTTGTTTGGTTCCTAGACGTAACAGCACTACAGACAAACTCATTCTAGACATGCAGTTTGGTGTCCTGCTTCTGTCTCTTCCACATGAGTTCACGCACAAAGAACTGCCCTTGCTCTGTAGGGTGTTCAGAAGACTGCTTCTGTGAATGCAGCTCTTCTCACGCTTCTCACTCCTCTGGGATAGCACTGCAGTGGGGACAGGAAGTACGCAGGAAGTGGAGAGACTGACGGGGTTAGTGACCCACCAGCTGTGGGGGCCCGGGGAACTAATTGAGAATGACTCCCCATGGCAGGCTGAAAAACACTCCCCCACCCGAAGAGATCTACATCAGATCCCTGGTGATTGTGAATGTGACAGTTTTTGGAAAAAGGGTCTTTACAGAAGTCGTCCAGTCAAGGATCTTGAGATGAAGAGACCATTCTGGATTAGCTAGGGAAAGCCCTAAACGCCATCACAAGTATCCCTAGAAGAGAGAAGAGGGAAGACACGGGCCCGTACAGAAGGCCACATGAAGGCAGAGGGAGAGATCTGCACGCCGTGGCTATGCGCACAGAGCAGCCAACAGGAGCCGGAAGGGGCAAGGAACAGATTCTCCCCTGAAGCCCGTAGAAGGAGCACAGCTTGGGCAGATCTCAGACTTCTGGCCTCCCAAACTGTGAGAGAATCAATTTGTGTTATCTTAAGCCACCTAGTTTGTGCTAATTTGTACAGGAAACTCCTATCCTGCCCATGTCCTTGCCCGCCCTGTTCCTCTGCCGGTCTTCCCCATCTCTGTGACTGGCACCACCAGTCACCCCCCAGGCCAGACCACCGGGGTGGCGAGCTTATGAGCATCATGTGCTGCAGCCGTGATGCGCATTCCTCTCAGGTGTCATCCTGGTACATCTCTATGCCGCACGCTGTCACCTTCCATCTTACAGACCTGAGGCTTATGGAGAGGTCAACAACCTGCTCAGGGTGTGACAGAGCAGCAAGAGCTTGGAGGAAAACCCAGGCGAAACTGGTTGCCAAGCGCAGGGTTCTCACTGCCCCGCCTCTTGGGCCGAGTTGGATACACGGAGGTCATTACATGGGAGACAGCTGAACAGAGATGTCAACCTGACAATGGGACAGACCTCGCCTTCAGGAGGGATCAGAGTGAGATGGAAACGCGGGTATAAATTCAACATACAGAGAGTGGCTGGAGTCGTGGCATCGGAGGAGATAGCCCGGGGACACAGTGCAAAGTAGAAAAGAGGAGCCCGGATGGAGTTCAAGGAGCACCCCGATTTGGAGGTTGGGGAGAGGGGGAGGAACCAGTGAAGGAGACTGAGCTGGCCAGGTCGGAGAGAGGGACCCAGGCAGCGAGCTGTCATGACGGTCACGCGGACAGAGCAGCTCACTCTGAGCTCAGGACCGATGACAGCTACCATGAACCAAATGCTTTCTCCGGGACAGGCCCTGTCCTGGGCCCTGTACAGTACTTCCAGGAAGCAGACATACTGTTGCTCTCACTTGAGAGGCGAGGCACTTGTGGTCTGGACAGATGAAGTCATGGCCCAGGGTCATGGAGCAAGTAACCAGGCCCCTTCTACTCTCCGAGCACGCTCTATGTTCCTCCATGGCACACTGCCTGGCCACGTGGCAGATCGCATGACTGTTGCTCAGTGTGTCCCTCCCCAGTGCCTAGCAAGCCGTGACACACAGCAAGCACCCAGGGACTGAGGGGAAATGGCATGTCCGGGGGCTTGTGTGCTCTCTGAAGTGGAAGGTAATGGCTTCTCTCCAGAGTGAGACAGGGGCGGTAGGAGGTTGGCTTTTTGCAGATTGTGCTCAATGATGGAATAATCACCATGGAAAGAAGAGGCCCAAGCTGCCAAGAGAAACAGACTCCCAGGCCCTGCTCGGGGGACACGGGCTGGGCATGGGGCTGGTGACCGCACCCTTACACATCTTGCCATTCTTGTGAGTGATGTGCTCTGGCACGCTGTCAAATACCCGTGCCCGTCTCTTCCTGCTCACCCTCCACAGCCAGCCCTAATGCCGCCTGCCCCCAACCTCACCAGCAAGGCTGGCCAGGCCCTCTCCGGGTTCCCCCCACACACGCCAAGCTGACACCTCCTATAACAGAGCACCTCACTGTATCTGTCTTGGTATTTCCCCCAGCACCTGCCCCTAGTAGGTGCGCATTACATGTCTGTGACCCAAGTGTCATTTTACAAGTAAGCATGAGATGGGAAGGGCTGCCGCCACCTTCCTGATCTCTGAAATGACTTGCAGAGAGGGCCAAGTCCTCTGACTGCCAGATGCACGCCTGCAGGAACACTGTCAGAAAGGCATTAGTGGGCAATAGAAATGACACAGTTCAGAGCTTTTCCTACTTGGAGAGCAGGTGCTGGAGGTGTGGCCTCTTAGCTGTGGCTGGGTGTGAAGGATCCCATCCCCTCCAGCTAGCAGGGCTCGAATGGGAGCGGTCTGCGGATGACACTCCTGCGTGTGATTTACGGCAACTTTGTACACGTGCCTGGTTTCACACAGGTGACTCCATTCTAACAGAGTGAGCTTCAGACCAGATATGAATTAATCAAGTAATCACCATAGTTCACGGGTTAAAGGGACTCCCAAGGGCCTCATGATCATTTCATTAAAAGTCTTACTTGATTCTTTAGGTGATAATCCTCTTTCTGGGTCTTTGCTTAATTAATTCAGCAGACAGGATGGTGGAGAAGCAATGAGAGAGACACTGCGCAAAGCCCCACAGGCTATATAACGGCGAGGTACAGCTGGGGGCTGCTCAGAAAGACCCCACCTTCAGGTGGGGAGGAACTCCGCAGTCTAACTGAACTGCGTAACAACCTACGGCCACCACGTAACAAAACAGCCACCGTTTCTATAACGTTATTGAGAACGTACCTTGTTGGTATCAGCGACACTGTTTTGTCGGGCATCAAAGATGATAAGTTTGTGAGACTGTGCGTTAGCATCCATTATTGTTTGCAAGTATTTTTCATCTTCTTTGCAGCGTTTATCACTGGGACCCACAAGTGGCTGGCTGCAACGGGTAATTGTTGCCTGACTTTCTGGATGAATCCACGATAACACCTAGTGTTTGTAAGCAACAAACATTAGTACGGTTCCTAAAACAATACGTGCCCTGATTGCCAGGCAGTAAAAAGAAGTTGTCTTTTTAAGCAAGGCCTCTTCTGCACATTTTCCTCGAAGGTGAGGGCTGAAACCAATGACAGCATGATAGTGGCTCTGGAACTCTCTGGGTCAGGTGGAAAGAAGTCTGACTAGATAAGCTCCAAAAATCCCCTTCCATCTCTCAAATTCTATGACTCTAAGGACAACAGAAACGAAGTCAAACTGACTGTCAGGCCTCACTCCTATTTGAATGACTCGTTTTATTTTGTCTCCTAATTTAAAAACATCTTTGTATTTTCACAATCACACATGTGACAGAATGAGGGCAAAGTGAAGACAGTGTCTTATGAGATCTAAAGCTAGGCCCCCAAACCTCCAGTTTTCCTCAGGGGGCCAGGAGACTCCGGATTATACCCGACCACAGACTCTAGGCTCAAAGACGCTTACTCCCTCCTTGGTTACGGTGAGAGTGTCATGGGTGGACATGTATGTACAATGTCATCAAACTGCACATGTGCAGTTACACCTCAATAAAGCTGTTTAAAACACTTCAGCCCCTGCCGGCTCCTACGTTGGCTTGGGTAATGGTGCAGCGTTCCACTCAGCATCTAAGAAAGTGTCTTTGCTCTAAGGTGGCTTGACAAACCCAGTGATGGATGCTGTTAATGCAACAGTATGCTCTTTCTTGCTACACCTTTGTTAGTGTCTCCACAGCCTATTGAGGGTCTTAGGCTTGTTTTTTCACTTTCTACTTTGTTCACTAGAGTTTTTTTCTGTCTTGTTTCCTTCCATATTAGATCTAATACAGTCTGTGTTTATGCCTGAGTGACGATGTTTATTACTTACCGGGACTCTGCCTTTTGCTCGAAAGGCTGCCACTTTTGAAAGGTCAGCATCTTTCACACTAGTTGGCACGACAATGACAGCAGGGTAGGTGTCACAGAGCTCATAGTTACTGTTCACTTTGGATATTTTCCAGCTCTCATTTGGCAAGCCCTGCAGGGTGTTAGAGCAAACTTTCGCATTTTCAAAAAGTACTAAGTGTGAACCACATCCACTTCTTATTTTCTCCGAAAAATCCATTCATAATTTGTTGTTCACTGCTACTTAAAAGTTTAAATATATGATTATCTAACATAACCCATTTCTTACCCATTTTTAAAAATGTAATGAAGCAGAATTTCCAAACATTTTAAAATGGTAAAAATTACATACTAGAATCCCAGTCCTGTACATTTCTTGCTGTGTTTTCTATAAAGAATGAGCATGGTATTGCTTTTGAAAAACCCATAAACATTCTTTAGGGACACAGAAGCGTTTTACAAACATCTACAGTAATATAAATCACCATACCAAATATACAGTGGACACAAAGATTAAATGTCACGAAAACAGTATCTTATTGGAATATCTTGAACCTGACAATGCACTGAAGACTTTCTAGGCACAGAACACCATACCAGACTGATGTAGTCATGCCATACACTTAATCTAATTTAAGCCATTGGTTTTGATCCTTACTCATCAACTCCTTACCAGAATATCTAATAAAAACCATCTGGCCAATTCGCTTTTTAAACCCCTGTGCTAGTACTCCACTTGCCCTCTGGAAAAAGGCTGACTAGCAGCAGCATCAAAGGTCTGGCATCGGGAGAATGGGGCATCCCAGGGATGAAGAACCTACAAGCTAGGAAAGTTATACCAACGCACAACTTGTTTCAAACGTTTTTTTTCTCCACTAAATTTCTAACCTGTTAGAAAAGAGAAAGATGTTCAACCCATTATTTTTGGCTTGATAAGGACCATATTTTACCTGTCTCTTATATTCAGATACAGGATCATAAACTTTCCACCCATTTGTTGGAAATTTTTCTTTGTAGTTGAATGCAAAGAGTGTCTGGATATAAAAATCACAAAAATACACATGTCAGTATTTGTTTGCTATATCATATACCCAATATTAAAGCTTTTCATTCAGCTATGAGCTAGATATTAAGATTTCTATTCTAACCTGTAAATTTGGAAGCAACACATTGGCACTTTCCTTAATCATTACACAGAACTGACAAATTTTAAATATCCTAATATTAGTCACAAACAGAGAGAAAAGAGATAAAGGAAACCTCTGGAAAAAAGGAATAATGAAACATGACTTTTTGGACCTCCCCCCAACACACACGCAAAGGTGTATTTTGGTGTACTTGCCTGCCCATTGGAAAGAGGAAATGCAAGTTTGTTGAGGTTTTCAAATATCCCAAGTTTACTCTGTTCTTCCTGCTTATAAGCAAGTCGCAAGTTCCTCATATCCTATTAAACAATTAGCAAAACTCATTTATTGAACATTTATTGAGTATCTATGAGTCAGACACCATGCTATAAAGAGATAAACGAAATACTTGTATTCATTTCTCATGTGATAGATTACTTCTACCAACAAAAGACAACAGAAGCACCTCCAACAAGGTAACAGCCATTGAAGAAATTGGAACAAGGGGGACATGTTGGGGAAAGAACTCATCAGATGGAAGCAAGAAGAAGGTTAGTACCCGGAAGATGTGCCTTCAGGTCCTGTGCACTGACTGCTAAAGGTGTGCCACGGAATCAGCTGCGAGCATTAAGCTGCCCAAAGAGTCGACTGCAGATTTTGCACCATCCATAAAATAGAAATGCGACAGAGGTTTCTCTCTGTGCTCACAGCAAGGACTCTGTATCACGTAGAGACTATGTCCCTCAGTGCGCTCCTTACAGAAATTACGATGCTGTTTCCCAGAATCAGTTTCTTAAATGCCCCACCATGAAAGCTGCTGGCCAAGCCCGTGGGAGTGCTCCCAGTGAGGTGGCTCTGATTTCTCCCCAGCACTGGTTTGAGCAGGGCCCCCTGACCTTTTTAAACCTATGCCGTTAAACACAAAAGTCTCATTCTTCTTAAAATGACATGAAATTTGAAGATAAATATGACCACAAACAGATTAAAGAGCAACTCGGGAAGCGGAAAAGTAATTGTTGCAATATTATTTATAACAGAGAAGAATGGAAATGACTGAAATGCCCGTTGACAAAGGCTGGTGCGCTGAGGAGCTGTCAGAAACCAGCAGCAGTTCTGCATTGATACCAAGGAGTTCCAAGACCCACCGTTAAGGGGGAAAGAGGGGGCAGATGGGCTATGTAATACACTACCATCTACATTTGTAAAGACCACATGGACACGCCTGTGCGCCCACCTGCCAGGACTGGAACAAGGTGGCTGGGCGGTTGGGTGGCCAGAGACTTACTCTTCCCTACACACCCCTTTTGCACCTTCTGAATTGTGTACCACCTGTTAAAAGAAACCAAACCTTATGCCTTGCAAGGCTCTCAGGTAGGAGCTGAGAGGGCTGGGAGCGTGGCCTTGGCATGCTAGGCTGGAAAACATTTTAAAGCAGCTATCAGCAAATCTCACCCTGGCCATGAAGACATCTTCACTCAACAGCCCCAGGCACCTGCCTAAGCAACGTCACTTCCCAGTGTGCCCTCCCTCCAAGCCACTCTGACTACACACACACACACCTTTGTAGCTGATGGAGTTCACTTGCTATTTAGGATTGCTGAGAATGCAAATCCTTCCAAGCAAAGGAGAGAGCAGGTGCGAAGACTCAAAGCCCCGGGGAGGATGGGGGGGGGCGGACATGAGGCGAGTGTGAGCAGCTGAAGGAACCGGACTAGCGAGAACGAGGGGAGGGTGGCCGGAGGTGAAGCTGCACAAGGCAGTCATCCAGCTCAGACCCACAGGCTTTTGGTGAGTCTTCCCTCTAGCCTAAGGATGATGGGAAGCTAACCGGAGAGTTCTAAGAAGGAAAATGTCAAGTTCCCAAACTGCAGGACTCATCAAACCACCCCTCTGCTTTAAGTCCCACAACCACTTCACGTGGCTCAGCATGGGGAACCCTGGCCTGAGAAGGACGGACGCGATTTGTCGCAGGACAGCACTGCCCTGAAATGCCCAAAGGGAGTCTAGGACGCCAGCAGATTCATGATCTGCAAGAGTAAAGGATTCTTTGAAAAAATGGGTTCAGCTGCAGTCTGGGGCCAACCAGAGGGAGCTGTGTTCGGAGATGTGATCAAAGCAAACAGACTGGCAGGAATCCAAACCCTGACCATGGAAGGGATCCTAGCAATTCCGCACAGACTCTCTTTCCCGGGACTTTAGGGTTGTTAACAAAGTGCACCCCGTGAGGTAAAGTCTTTGGGAATAAGACACACCAGTTAAAGTGTTTCGTAACTGACTAGTCATTAAAATCATCACACACAATTCTACTTAACCCACTGGAGGAAGGGTAGAAAACCAAACATAAGCATGGCTCAGGTGAAAATCCCAACATCGTGTTTTTAATCACAAAATTTGTAGACTATTGCTGTCTCTTCAGGAAGTCTCTGACCATCCACTGTTCTGAAAGGTCGTGTTAAAACAACAAACTGCAAAAAAGTATTGATCTCTGCTTTTCACTTGGTTTCTCTGAAATGTAACAAATAACATCAGCACCTAGGTTATAAGTCTGTGTTTATTAGAATACTTCGATAGAAGACAAGAGGTTTACCTCAACAGCTTCCAGAGTGGTATGAATTAGCTGATACAAGATTTGAAGAGGCCTCTGTCCTGAAACCACGTGAGTTACTAACAGTCCCAGGGACTCTCACTGCCCAAAGACCGTGAAGAACGTGTCAGCAAAAGCTCCACACTGACCGCCCGGCAGTTTCACCTGTGTTCGCACCATACCTTGCACACAATCTCTATGCCACAGGAATTGTCCCCGTGGCTCTGCGCTCCAATCTTCTCAACTCTGCTAATCACACCAAGGGGAACATCGAGGACAAACTTCGGGTCCTGGGTTTACAAATTAACAAAGGCCTATCAGTGCCAGTCCTCAGGGCTTTCACACTTGAAGTCTTCTCTGGGTGAAAACACACGTTTAGTTTACATTTCCCCTTTGTCCCAACTATGAAACTGAAGTCTGATTTATAACATGCTTTATGAAGTCGATGTCAAGGCTACAGTTAAACTCCTCCCACCAGGTCTAAGTGTGACTTTAACAGCATTTTTTTCTGGATGCAAAATCTATTTCCAGATGTGCACATCTTAAAACTCACCCTGTGGTTCTCTCAGAGTGATGGGATTTCAGGGTTCTTTTTACTTTCTTCTTTATTGTTGACTGTGTTCTGAAGTGTTTTTAAAAATGAAATACCCCTTTAAAAACTTACCCTTTCTACATTCTTGAAGTACATCTTAAAGTCAGTCACCGTCAGGCTTCCACTCACTGCTCCCATAAATGGGCAGATGTACATGACATCTTTCACTGAAAGAAAGGACCCCAAGCAGCAACTTTAGCCACAGACCTGTGCTTCAATAAATCTTGTGTTTCTAAATATATATATTTGTGATTCCAGTTTTCTAGGAACTTTGTATTTTTTATCACATTAAAGACACAGATAGTCTTCTAAGAAAATTCCATTTTGTACAACAATTCTGATTTGCTACTTAGTGGGGTTTTAAGTAAAGGGCCTCTTAATAAGTTACATTTTGTCATTATTTTCCAGGTAGTTAACATTTTCCCTGAGTGATAAATTCATCATGTTCAAAAACACAGTAATTAAACTCTGAAGACCCCGGGCTGTTATTTCATCAATTACTCCTAATGAAAGCTAATGCACCTCCAAAGGAAACTGTTTTACAGATGACAAAAAGTAGAACCACATCAGTGGCGTGGAAAATGCCTTCTTTGCTTCAAATTCCTTATCAGCTTCCATATCAATTTTTATTTTCTTATTGTTAATATCAACATGTTTAGTATCCCTATCGGCAACGTACTGCAGTCCAGCAAGTGTGAAGGAGCTCCCGCCTGTCCCAAAGATAACCACACCTTCACCATCTTCCCTAAGTGCCACTGCACAGGAATAGCAGGAGCGTATACAGCTACGGAGGAGTCCGAGGGGGACAATTAAAGGCACTAAAGTTGTCACCCAGCCAAGTTCTCAAAACACTTCCATTAAACTTTCCTACAGCTCAGTATGTACTGGGCAGCTTCCATTGTTGGGGTCCTAGGGGTAACCGGGCACAATTCCTGCTCACAAGCAGCCAAGCCCTATGAGAGGTGCTACACAGGAAATCACCATTATATGAGAGCCTCACAAATGCTATCATCACCGTGGGCATGGTAAGAGCTCAGAAAAGGACCCACTTAGCTCAGCAGGGCAGCAGAGGGTGAGGCGGGATGGGAGAAGGAAGGGAAGGAGAGAGCGCAGAGTTGTTGGAGGTCAGTGTGGCTGGGTTAAAGGGTGAAGCAAGGATGACAGGACATGAGGCCAGAGAAGACTTGTTCGTGAAGGTTCACAGCAGCTTTGTTTGTGACCGCCAACAAGGAGAAACGGCCCAAATATCTACCAAGAGATGAATGGATAGGCAAACTGTAGTGTAGCCACATAACAGGATACTGTGCAGCAGTAAAAAGGAATGACTTCTGAAGCATTACACAATATGGATATCAAAATAATTATGCTGAGTGGAAAAAGCTAGACAAAAGAAGAAAATACTCAATGATTACGTTTCTAAAACACTGTAGAAAATATAAATTAGTCTACAGTGCTTGGGGATGGGGGAGAAGGCATGGGAGAGAGGGATTATAAAGGGCCTAAGGAAATTTCTGGGAGTGATGGATATGTTCATTATCTTGACTATGATGATGGTTTCCCAGGTGCATAATGTGTCAAAACGCTTCATGTTGTACACTTGAAATCTGTGTAGTTTGCTGTCTGGAGAAGAAGCAGAGGCATGACATATAATTAGCTCTGCATTTTAATCAGATCATTACAAAAGCAGCATGAAGTAGGGCTAGAAGAACTCCCAGAGAAGGAATAGTCAGAGAGGCCAGAGGACCACCAGGAGTGAAAAAAGTTCCAGAAGCTAAATGAAGAGTTTCAGGGCGCCTGGGTGGGTCAGTCAGTTAAGCATCCGACTCTTGATTTCGGCTCAGGTCATGATCTCAGGGTTGTGAGACTGAGCCCCGCGCAAGGCTCTGTGCTGGGCTTGGAGTCTGCGTGAGATTCTCTCTTCTCTCCCTCTGCCCCTCCTCCCGCTTCTCTCTCTCTCTCTCTCTCTCTCTCTCTCTCTCTCTCTCTCTCTGAAAGAAAGAAAGTTTCAAAACCACCAATAGGATATGCAGGGTTCAGAGCCACAGGCTAGGATACTCAGCAGCAGTACTGTATTGTTTGGAGGCCCTGGGAGAGCCCAGCTACTCAAACATTCTTTCTTTTTTAAGATTTATTTATTTATTTTAGATAATGAGAGAGCGAGGTGGGGGGAGAGGGACAAGCAGACTCCATGCTGAGCTCGACATGGGGCTCAATCTCATGACCCTGAGATCATAGCCCAAGCTGAAACCAAGACTCAGATGCTTAACCAACTACACCACCCAGGCGCCCCTCAAACATTCTTGACACAAGATGATTATACTGAGATGGAGCACACATCTTTGGGAGGGAGCAGTGAGGGAAGAAGGCAATACTCAGGCTAGCAAACTACTGCCCAGCCCAACCCCGGCAATGGTGAGATGAAAAGGTCCCACCCAGTTGCCCTCCCGTCTGCCCATGGCACAGTGGGCTCCCTGCTGAACTGCCTGGCGGGCCAGAGGGAGGATGGGGGCGCTCTACTCATGCCACTCCCCTTACAACGCAGGGTGGCACCACATGTGCTCTTTTTCTTGTGCTCAAATTGTACTTTCTGGAATCTCATAAGCCACTGAAATTCTTTGGCCAAGTTCTCAAACCTGTTATTAAGATATGACATGGATCTTCTGTCAATATATTCTTATAGTGAAGGATTCCAACGAAGCATTACATCACACTGAGTGTCTAATCAGCCTTCAGTTCCTCAGGAAAAGGCAGGCCCCCCTTCTGTTGGTGATGTCACCGAACACTCAACTAGAACTTAGAGTGATCCTATATAGTCTTCTATCTCTTAAGGTCATGAAGACATTAATGAGAATGAACAGACCTAGTCCCTTTGTCCCCTAATTAAATTGGTTTGGCTGATCTCCAGCACATACATCACCTGTGCTCGCAAGTAAAGTGCCATTTCATTTTACAGCTCTCTATAAGCGCAGTGTACTCATTAAACTTACCAGTGGCCTTGATGGATTCTCCTGGAAAGAGTGGCGTTTCTTCCATCTGTGCCAGCTTATTTCCATCTCTTAGAGCCTGGCAAAAAACCAAACAGGAGTAAATCTCACTTTCCTGCTGCATACCTGAGAAGAATGGTGGTGTTCTGTGCTCTTGCCACATGGCTACAGAAGCGTGCAAACTGGATGCCCCCTCCCCCTACAAGACAATCTCAAAGCTCAGCATCACAGGACACCATGCTGCATTTTCTAGCAAATTGTTACACATATTTGAATTCACAGTTAGAAAGCATTAATACAGAAATGGCTTGACATGACAGATAGATACTGTAATCACTACACAGACAGCTATTATAAGGTGCCTACATAATTTGGAAATAAGGTCAGAAAAAGGTTACCTTCTGAGCATGAAACTAACACAAATGAAATCAACATTAAATGTAGGTGCTTCCCTAGCTGTAGAAATTATCCAGCCTGTAAGCACTAGCTAGTGTGGGAAACCCTGAAGTCTAACTGAAGTAACCAGGGAGGGGTCTCACGGCAGTAACATTACTAAGGAAAGCCCTAGGCTTTTGTACTGCAGCCCAGCTACCTGCGTGTGTGCACAAAGCGTAGGGGTGGGGGAAGGGAGTAGCCAGTGGGCTTGTCAGTGTGCATCCCATCCAGGCCATGAAAGAGCATGCTCTCATCTGGCAGACAGGGGTATGTCCATCACTACTGTGGAGCAGGGTGTGTTCATCGGGCTTTCCCCAAACCAATTCACCCTGTGCTCACCAAGCAAATCACTAATGACTTATCAGGTTTCCTAACTACAATGATACTAGGAATATGACGTCTTGGATGGCTGCAGAGACACACGCCCAGATTTCCAAATGTCCAGGTTGGCCCTGCTGCCCACTAGCCAGTTTCTTGTGAGTTTGGTTGGATATAGTGCCAGATAGTTCAGGAGAGCTGAGAAAATGGTGTTCGAACTACAAAGCTATGGACCAGAGCCTGAACTCGGGGCCTATTCCAAGTTACTGCCACCCTGTGACATGCTGCCAAGGAAACTGGTCACTTTCTTCTCGGCATCTCTGACACAATGTGTCACGAATAAGAATAAGGTGTTCAAAAGCCCAGCAATTCCCAAGCTGTGTTTCATAGAGCATTAAATTCCCAAGAGATGTGAATAGGTCTTTTTTGGTCAAGTTTGGGTAATGTTGGGTTAGAGAAAAGCTAAACTGTGGTGTTTTTTTTTTATTATTATAGTGAGAAAAGTCTTTAGCATATTAATGTACACCAAATCAGCAAGAGGGCGCTAGAGTATGTCGCATTTCCCATACCGATTTGATCAGTGGCTGCTTTCTCCAAAAAATAGTTAACATCGGGAGGCCACTAGTGTCCAGACAATACTACGTTTTCAGCATAATTTTGTGAAGCAAAATATTTAAAATGGATTAGAATTTATAATTCTAAATTATTGAAAATTATAATTCTAGATTATTGAAAATTCAAAACTAATTTTTTGCATAGTCGTAAGAATACTTCAATATGTTTTGTTAATGGGACTTAAAGGTCAGTTTAAAAACCCTATACATCATAGTTTTATCATTCTTATAAAACAAAGGAAAAAGGTCAAAATATAAAAAGCAAGGGCGCCTGGGTGGCTCAGTCACTAAGCGTCTGCCTTCGGCTCAGGTCATGATCCCGTGGTCCTGGGATTGAGCCCCTCCCTGCTCTGCGGGAAGCCTGCTTCTCCCTCTCCCACTCCCCCTGCTTGTGTTCCCTCTCTCGCTGTGTCTCTCTCTGTCAAATAAATAAAATAAATAAAATCTTTAAAAAAAAAACAAAAAAAATATAAAAAGCAAATTCCATGCTAAATGTCGGCTGGGGCATGTCTGTTCTACAGGAAGGGTACAAAATGATGCGGTCCATCCTCCTTACCAAGATACACGATTAAAAGAACACAGATTAAGGGCTCATTATTACCTCTGAACAATTTTATTCAGCTTGATGTTTTGGTCCAGATTGGTTTTTAAAACACTTCAGTAAAATTTTTTAGGGACATAGAGAACCGTTAAAGGGTAAATGGAGAATTGTTAATGGATTCATTTTTATGCTCACACCTGATTTGGAAACATCTTTTATCAATAAAGCATAAGCCAATATTTATACTTCTAAATGTCCAGTTTTAGAAATACTAACATCACCAATCTTAGAAGTCTTAATTTGAAGTTCTGCTTTCTTTTGCCTGAACCAGTGATTAATTTTATAATATAGTTACAAAGTGAGAAAGCTAGTTCAATCAATATCTAAGTTTTGGGTTACTTCAAATATTACACTGTTAAAGCTTATTTTAATGGTTAAATATTATCATATATAGACCTAAATTCCTTAACTTATATTTAAAAATAAATGGGGATGGGTTATTTTGAAATACATGTACCAGAGCAAGCTGTTCTAATCAACTGAACCTGGAAGGGGAGCACGGAGGGGCAGGGCGGGGGGGGGGGGATGTGATTTCACTTTAAGCTTTATAGCAAGCCACATCAAACACTTTCAAGTCCTCTACACGGGACTAGCTACTAAAAAGTTGCAGATGGGAGATACCAGTGACTGGGACCACTCTGAGAATGTACAGGGCTCTCAAGATTGAGGCTGAAGATCAAATATGTCTCTTTTCTGATAGCCATGTTAAAGTTGGCTTGAAATACCTGTGCATATAAATGAGGCATGAACGTGCTGGTAAGACATGAGACAAACCTTTCACTAATAATAATTCAATCCGGGGCATGCTTTATAAGTAATGGAAAAGCAACTATCAGAACAAAACAAATGATCCCACTGCTTCTGATTTTCCCATAAAAGTTTGATTTTGTACAGGAAACACATTTAGCTTTAGCATAGAAATTCAAGAGAAGAATGGTTTCTAAAGGCTCGTTATTTTGTGAGTACAGTTGATTCCCTTAATAAAGCTGGTGTTAGGAAATGGGACTCACACTTGTGCTACATTAAGCTTTGACTGCAACTACCAAGTTGCACAAGACATGATTTGACCCTTGATTTATCCAACCCATGTACAGTACAATCAAAGAATGGAATATTCTTGTGGACAAAATTTGATCTCACGAACACACTCATTCCTCTTGGCGTCTCTGCTCCACGTGTTGCCCAGTTGAGGAACTCCCTGTGATGATCTCATCCAAACCCTGTTCCAGTGACCCTGAAAGTCCAGCAGAAGGCCCACCAGCTCCCTGAATTTGTCCCCGAGGACTCCAGCCCACCAGACGGCCCTGGCCTCTCTGCTACTTTTCTCATGATGAACCGAAGCTGCTGGGTGGACAGTTTCTATAATGGCTGCATGCCAAAAGCAGTGGTTTTCAAATCGGGCTCTTCAAGGTGCTTCCAGGGTCACCAAAGGAGGGTGGGCTGGGCAAAGGCACAGCTGAGCACGGGGGTAGCTGACCATGCTTCCCTGGAGCTGCTCTTCTAAGCGCTTTCATATATGGAGATTCTAAATAAGCTTTGGAGAAAGTTCTGAGGTTTTAAAAGACTCCAGAGGGTCTTGAGGAACCGAGCAAAGAGCACTCAAGAATTTTGATGCATGATTTTTTTTTCTTCTGATTAATAAATATAAACCATATGGACTCATTCTACAAATACCTACAAGGCACCAGGTACTATGTTGGGCACAGACCATGCAAATTTGAATAAAGCAAAGTCTACAACCTCAAGGAGCACCCTGAGCATATGCATCTGTCCCCTCCCAATCTCCGTAAAGGCATTTCAGAGTCCCGTTGTGACTAAGACCCCTTACCTCATAGCTAACCCTATCTGGGAAAACTGAGAAGCACAGATGAACAAATTTCTGGTTGACAAAATGTTGGATAAACCAATTTTTGCAAATAATGTCATAATGGAATCTACCAAACTTGCACAGGAGAGCACTACTGTAGTGGAAAAGCATTTGCTTATCATCTAGAAATCTAGTATGAAATGGCTTCTAGATACACGATCTGTAGCTACAAACAGATGAACATGTAGAACTTGCCACCTGATCAGCTTCGGCTTCAGAAGGGTAGCCATTGTGTTCTTCCTGAATCTCCTGCACAGCACCAGGTGCGTGGACAAGAAAAGGCAAAGAGGAGAAAGAGAAACACGTGCAAACAGACAGGTGAAAGGACAGAAGTTCTTTCTTAAAGAGACACTAAGCATGTAAAAGTTGACACACCTTTCACGGCTTTGCAAATCACAACATTTTCCCCCTTGGAGTTAAGGAAATAACGTGTTGGTCATCTATAGCATCCTCAGCCTAAACTGGAGTATCTATTCTGTGTTTGTGTTGGGGCGGAAAAATGAAAAGCAAACAAACATCATGGATTTCAAAGAATGTACAGTCTAGTTTAAATCAAACAATACTATAGCATATGGCAAACAAAATAACAGACACATAATATGCTCATACAACATAAAGCATACCATAGTAACCAAGTAAAGGGCAAAACCAAGCCAAAATACAAAGGCAGTTCATAGACACGTATTTTAAATGCAGTAAAGTACTCATATACTCTACAGAACTATTGCTCAGGGCTCAAGTCCACTAGTATTAACAAGCTTTCCACACACATGCACATGCACACATTACATGCTGGAGACATACATATACATATAATCTGCAAATTATTGCTAAATAAATGTTGTGCTTTATGAATCAATACCATATTAAAGGTTTCTAATTACAGTATCAATGTTCTTCAAAGAAACAGCTAAAAGGTCACATATCTTTAAGTGTTTTCCAATCTCTTTAAAGGTATACTGTGCTTAATTTAACCTCTTCATAGAATCAATTCGTTTTTGCAACTTTAAAAATTGGACTTTCGGTTCAGCAGGTGATAAAAGAACATAAATGCTGAAGACGACAAGATGATAACCCCTTTTAAAAGTTGTATCAGCTCTCTGAGGCTGCAAATATTAAAATTTGGCATAGATATATTTTTTCTTCATGAAACTTTGGTTCCCATGACTTATTTCTTTAAAAGGCAATCAGTGAAGAAGTAGCAAAGCTTTACAAGAACTTACTATTTCTCACCTTTCATTTTT